TTGAGTGATAACACTTGTTTTATAAGTCTCCAATTATCTAAACAATTATTGATACACATCTGTCAGGCCATGGCACGAGTGTGGCGAGATGGACAGAAGAAAACCGTTCACATCTACAGATTTCTTACAACAGGTAACCAAAACATTTGTAAATTACCCATAAAATAAGTATAATCAGCCTGTCTGTCAATGGCTAAATTTAGCTGTTTGTTATGACTGTGCAATTAAAAGAAGTACTTGACCTGAAACATCTCACAGCCTTTCATCAATCATAGCCCACACAAACAGACTGGCTTTCTTTTCTACCAATAGGCTCTATGTTATGACACGTATCACATGATGAAACACTCTTATTCTTGGAAGGCTTTCAGATTGATGAATCATGGTTGGAAAAAGCATTTGTTTACAGAGTTTGCACATGAGTTTAGGTCTGCAATAATGTGCACGTGTGTCTTGTAGGTTCAATAGAAGAGAAGATTTATCAGAGGCAGGTGAGTAAACAGGGCCTTTCTGGGACAGTGGTGGACCTGTCCAAGAAAGCTGAGCATATTAGCTTTTCTGCTGAGGAGCTACGGGACCTTTCAGTTTTGACCCAAATACCACCTGCCTCACACACAACCTACTAGCCTGCCAATGCACTGGAGATGGAAATACACCAGGTAAATAAATACAAGCAAATTAAATAAAGAAGGAACTAGATCAGGGGTAGGCAACGTCGGTCCTGGAGTGCCGTTGTCCTGTAGAGTTTAGCTCGAACCCTAATCAAACACACCTGAACAAGCTAATCAAGGTCTTCAGAATTACTAGGGCTACAGGCAGGGGAGGTTTTTTTCAGGGTTGGAGCTAAACTCTGCAGGACATCGGCACTCCAGGACCGACGTTGCCTACCCCTGAACTAGACGATTCTCTTACCATTAGGGCTGTCAATCAATTCAAAATTTTATAATGTTAAAACATATACAGAATAATTAATTGCAATCATTGTATATTTTAGATATAGTAGATGGGTATGTATATATATATATATATGTACACTACTGTTCTAAGGTTTGGGGTCGTTTTTAAATAAACACTTTCATTCAGCAAGGATGTATTAAATTGATCAAAAGTGCCAGTGAAGACATTTATAATGTTACAATTCAATTTCAAATAAATGCTGTTCTCTTGAACTTTGCATTCATCAAAGAATCCTGAGAAAATGTATCACAGTCTCCACAGAAATATTAAGCACCTGTTTTCAACTGAAGATTTAGCTTTGCTATTACTGGAATAAATTACATTTTAAATATATATATATAAAAAAAAATAAACCAGTTATTTTAAATTGTAATAATATTTCACAATTATATGTTTTTTACAGGTTTTTTTTTTTACTTATCTTTTTTTATCTTCTTTCAAAATAAAACAAAAAAGTAACCATTTTTATATAAACATTTCCAGGTTTTGTGAAGGAGATAAAGGAGGAGACTGGAAGGGCATGTCAGCTGGGTCGCCATGCCGACGGCACGGTATCATTTCCACAACGAGTCAGCATGTCCGAGCTCATGCACTGGAGGCATTTCTCTGGAGATGTTCAGTCATACGATGATATTTACCTAAATCATGCCCGTAACCACATCACATATGCCTTTCAAAGCACCACTTCCAAATCCCAAACCACAGTCTAAACTCTTCCTCTTCCCGAGACATTTATATACAAACCCACTGCCCTCATGTTGTTTGTAAATATCTGATGTATGATTGAACATTAAAATTATTTATTAAACACTAAAATCTTTTAATAAATCTTTTTATGTTGTTATTATATTTTGGTTGTGTACGCAAGCTAATGTGTTTGTGTCCATTTAGGGAACCCGCTGATTTAAATATCTGCTCCTTCTGTCAGAATGAATCAGAGCAGTACACAGAAATAGATTAATAGCGCAATCAGAAACATTAATAGAAGCAGGAAAAAAAGGCACCAGGGCATCTGTCAGACAAACATATTTTCACATTAGGCTTTTTTTTTTAGATAGTCAAATCCTGTTTCTAGTTTAATCCTGTCTGAGAAACTTATTCCACGTCAATTTATCCTAAATATAATGATGTTTGTTAATTTTTAATCATTAGTTTACTTTGTTCTTTGGCGATTATGGAAACAGTCTTTACATTGCTAATGAATCAGTTGATTAAATAGTGGGTTGACCTCCATCATCTTGTTTATTGCATTGTTTCCCCCCCATTATCATCCTAATTTATACAATGGATGGTTTATATGAATGTATCCAAAACCAGGATTGTTCCATCTCAGTAGGAGAATTGTTTAACATGACGCTGCGCAGGATTACATTGGTTGCACAGATGGTTCATTTAATGCATTTTCTAGCTCAATCTGTCCATTGTCACCATTAGTAACAGAAACACTGACTACAGGAATCAGAAATAACAGAGTGATCACGAAAGCAGTGAGGCACAACAGTCACCATCGGGAAATGAATTTGTCAGTTCCGTGACTCATTAATGAAACAAACCTGAGTGCACGTTCGCTGGCGTTGCTGTTTTATTGACAGTGTTTCAGGGTTGAAATGGAGCAGTGATACTGATGGATCATTCTGCTGTGATATAACGTGTGAGTCACAGATTTTGCGAAAACATACGTCTCAAATTTTCATTTTTCTTTTGAAAAAGTTCCAGACTGATTTGCTTTTTCAGCTATCACAACCTAAAATACCGTGTTGCTTTTAGTTTTATGTTGGTGGTGCATCAGTCTGTAAAGCACCATTTATGTCTCTGACCCTCTCTGATCTCTGATGGCCTATTTCTGATCCGCTCTTAGAGAAGTGAATGAATGAAGGAGGTAATCCAAGCACTCTGCTGTGATTTTCCCTTCATTTATATCAATTCTGAATATAGAAACAGTCATCATAATCCAGCAATTACATTAATAACACATTATAATCTGTCATTTGTCCCTCTTTGAGCAGCAGAGTGAATGTAATCTGTATCTTGGTACGTGTCCATGTGTGAAATAGAGAGCATGAGCATCTTTGGTGTTGTATGCTGTCTGAACCCTTGATTTGTTTGCATGGCATGTAGAATTTAAAAGACTGATGAGAATTTAGTCTTAATTTAATTCAGTTTTGGTCACATTGATCTCCTTTGGATTGGTGTTTGCATGCAAGTCTTGATCTTATGATGTTATTGGTTACAGAGTTTCAAATTGTGATTTGCTTTCTGCAGTATGAGTCTAGCAGAACTTGATTTAAAATACATTTTTAGTATATTATTTGCTGAACCAGACCAGAAAACTAACAACTGAGAATGTCTTATTTTGTTTGTCTGTGTCTATACCAAATGTGATTAGTTGTCCTGAAAAGGGCCACTTTAAGGATCTACTGTCCTGCCTAGGTGTCCTGCTTTAACCTGGCCTTAACTGGTTTACTATGCCAACCAACACACTAATCAAGGTTGCATAATGTCACTCACAGTTTACTTTATCCAGTTGGTCTGTGCAGCTTTTCAGACATACAGACCCGGCTAACGGAATATTTCTCAGAACTTTGGCTAACGTTCTGGTTAGATTCTCTCAAAGTTATAAACAAATGTTATTCCAGTAACATTAACTGAACATTTGTCAAAGTTATAATGTAATTTAATAATCTTCAATTGTTCATGAAATGTTTTTTTCCTGAAAATGTTTTAGTTGGATGTTTGTCTAATGTTTTTTTTTTTTAAATGTAACCACTTGCTTCAGAATGTTCAGCGAAATTTTTGAAGTTATATTGTGCGCAATGATAATATGGAATGTTCCCTTAATTTTTGGGAACATTCAGAAATAATGTTGTTATAACTTAGTGGGAATGTTAGCAAAACATTCTCAGAACATATTTTTGTTAGCTAGGGATCAGAGGCTTTCAAACTTTTGATGCCAACGAACCCCAAGTATAAGAAGATCTTGCACCCCTTTGGCTCTGCTCTCGCTCAGATATTGTGTGCACACACTCAACTTTGTCCTTGCATCATTGATGACCAGATGGGCTTTTTTTAATTAAGATAAAGAGCAGGCATATCCCACTAAATGGAAGCAAGCTGATTGTAGTCAGCCTTCTCTATTTATTTATTTTATTATTTAATACTTATTTTAGTTAAGTGCTTATTGTAAATATGCATTTATTAGATAATTTTATTTAGTGCATTTGTATTTTGTTTTTGTATACAGTTATACAATAAAAGCGCCTGGTTCCAGAAATAAATCACTGAGGGTGTTTCTGAAATTAGTGAGGGTGCTCTATATAGTCTTAATGCACACATATTTTGTCCAATCCATTGCTATCACTATCTCAATCACTGCTATGTCGAGATTGAATCCCGCATAAATATGCGAATGTCATTCCCGAAACTTTGCAACGTGTGTGTGGCCGAAAAACAAAAGTTCTGCATTTTGAATGGATTCGAATACTCGCAAAGCTGTCACTCTTTGCTCATTTCGATCTCTCAAAGTTCTGTTATTACAAATTAATCTCTCTATACACTGCGCAATCAATATTATTTACATTGTGTACTTTTATGTTATAATGAGAGGATTCGATTGTATAACTCAGCATGGAACAAAAACTGGTGTGTGTTGTAGCCTTTAGGTATGAGACAAAACCAGCATGTCATGAAGATGATGAAAGTGTTTTCAATTTAGTAGTCCCTTTAAGTATTTTTCTTCATTGAATATGTACAATTTCTTATGTGGTAACATCTCATTTATTTGGCTTTATTCAACCCAAAAATATTAACTTAACTTACATTAGTTGATAAAATGAAATTTAAGGGTTAGATCTGGTAGAAATTGCTCCCCAAGACAACATTTACAATCTACAATGTTTTATTTTACTTTTTTCTCATCATGCTCATTTTGAGCCCCCTCTCCCTAATCAGACACACACAATTTAGTTCTTGCAGTCTCTACTAACCAGCTGATGAGTGGAATCACTAATAAATATTATGTTACATAAGGGAGACATACAAAAGGTGCAGGGCAGGGGGGCCTCCAGGACAAGTTTGGGAACCACTGCTCTAGACAAGCCCAGGGTAAGGAAAGACCCGCTGCAGCTCATTGGGAGAGAGAAATGACGTCAAGGAAATCCTCACTGATACTGAGACCTTAATATAACCATGAACTGCACTGAGAGCTCAAAGCACATTACTGCGCAAAATATAGACATACAGGATTACCAGGGCACACAGCACCAATCCTCAGTCAGGTGTGCTTATTTGAAAACAAAGAAGCCAAGAGCAATTAGACCTTGTTGAGCAGGTTTCTACTGGTTGGGACTGGATCTACTATTGGAGCACAATTTGGAGCGTCCGATTTAGTCCGTTAATTCTTTGTTCAGTCACATTCACAGAAACAACCGTCGTTTAACCGAGTGTTTATCGTGGAATTGCACAAATGACCCTACTTGCGAGCATGCGGCGCCACAGTATTCGCGTTCAGCATCACCTGCACCGGCGAAGCATCTGCGGGACGGACGGAGGGCAGCTGCTGAGCGATGGTTTCGCGCGTCCCGACATCGGTATGTCCAGATCCAGTTCCTGCTCGTGCGCCTCTTCAGACTCCGCTCTCTCCACCGAGTCTGCGACTCCAGCTTCGCTTGGACCATTCACTGTTGTCCTGCTTGGAGACAACGGCGTCGGGAAGTCCGCGCTCGCTAGTATATTCGCTGGAGCATCGGACAGCATGGGCAGCGAATGCGAGTTATATGGAGGTATGTGGACAATTAACAGGACTTTTCATTTTCGCTTTTTACTCAAACTGTTCACAGACACATCAACTATCAAGAAATCACTTGGCTTTCCAGTGACGTTCTTGTTTCCGATTGTGATTTGGGTATACGCCTGTTTGTAGCGGTTATATTTAGGCTAAGTATTCATAAACTCAGCATAATCATAATCGTGCAGTTCAACATTTCAGAAACGCACAAGTTGGAGCCATGTAAAGGTCACTTGTGTAGAATTATGTAGAAAGTCAAAACAACAGGTTAGGGTCATAAAAGTACACAAAAAATTTAATTAACAGTAAATTTAATGAAAAATCCTTGCGTAATTGAATTTAATTGAATAACTGAACAATTCTTAATCAATTATTCAATTAAAATAGGCTACGTAAAGATTATTCGGTTCAATTTTATGGAAATGTAGCCTACTATTATATTAATGAAAGTGCGTAGGCTAAATCTTAAAAAAAGGTTGAGTGTGGGTTTGAGTGTAGGCTACACATTCTTTTCATGTAATATAGGCTAAATGTTTAAGCTACTTTGTACTATTTATTTATTTATTTATTTATGAATGAATGGATGAATGAACGTTTAGAAACCTAGGCCAGGAGCTTGCAAACTGGGGTAGCCTACATGGGAAAGAGAGAAAAACAGATTTAGGGAAATGTTTTTTTTGTTTTTTTTTGTTTTTATGGACTGCTGTAGTGCGAACTTAACATATTAATTTAATATTATGCGAAATAATTTGATGAATACATGAATGAGCATTTATTATAGTTAGGCTATAGAAGTTTGTTAGGGCGCATATGTTCGAACACAGACGCTCGCTAACAAATCGCGTTCGCCTGATGAGGTAACCATAGCAACAGAAGGACGCAGGAGCGCTTTGCTTCAATGTCGCATCTGACGGAACGCTGGCCTTTATGTTAGGGGCGCCACAAGAATATTGCACAGAAAACTTAAAATAAAGATGTTTTTATTGTCAATATAGGCTATAATGTGTGTACTCAGTGAATGTAATTTTGTACATTTTTGCCATGGCCACTATTCATAACTTTGTTTCAACTCTTTGTCCCTTTTAATGATCTCAGGTGAAGTATTTGAGCAGACAATAACAGTAGACGGTGAGAGGGCCACCGTTACCCTACTCGACATGTGGGATTCACAGGTAACATCTTTAGCTTATCAGCAATTTATATTAATATACTTTGATTATATTAATATACTTTGATGATTGGAGGTTGTAAGACATTCTGATTTCTGTTTCCATCAGGATGAGGGCAGCTGGACGCAGGAGCATTGTTTGCAGACAGGAGACGCTTTCATTATAGTTTATGCCATAACAGATCGTTCAAGCTTCCTTCGCGCATCTGATCTTCGTATTCAGCTTCGACGTCAGTGTGAAGCCGACCGCACTCCTATCATCCTCGTCGGCAATAAATGTGACCTGGTTCGCTGCAGAGAAGTATCCATTAGTGGTAAGTGATTCTGAATTTAAATAGTAAAACTCTTTAGTGCTTCTCTACTCCTTATCCTAAAGTTACTTCTATTAGTAGCATTACAATTGCTATTTAATCTTCATAATCTGCAAACCCCCTTATGGGATCAATAAAGTAGCCTACTCTTTGTTTATACCTTAGATCACTGAGAATTTTCGTTTATTATTTTATTTTTCATTTTTCAGAGGGTCGTTCGTCTGCTGCTGTCTTTGACTGTAAGTTCATTGAGACGTCAGCAGCAATGCAACACAACGTCTGGCCGCTGTTTGAGGGCATCATCCGCCAGCTCCGTCTACGAAGAGACAGCACAGAGAACCTCACCAGGCGTTGTTCTCTTCAAAAGCGCCGAGAGAGTCTCCCAAAGAAAGCAAAGCGTTTCATTGACAGAATTGTTGCTAAGAAGAACAAGCAAGCAGCCTTTAAACTCAAGTCTAAATCATGTCATGACCTGATGAGTGTGTAGTGTAGACTTTGAATGGCTCTGAAAGTTTCAATTGTATTATATGAAGTTTGGGTTCAAACATTTTTGGAAAGTATCTGTTCAAATGTTTGTTTTGTTCCCATTTTGTGATTTTTAAGAAAGCCATGGATGTCTATATTAGACTGTGCTGTAGAAGAGCATCGATTACAGGCTTCTCGCTCCCTCTGTGAAGGACAGAACGCTCTAGTGTTACCCATCGTCCTCCAAACATTTCAAAAGCCATGAAATACAAACATGTTTTTGTGGGAACCCCAACAAATTAAAAGTGATCCTTTTACTTTTTTATGATTTTCCTGATGGATTTGCTTTTGAATCGTGGAACCTCTTTGTCGTACCTTGTGTGTGTGTGAAAACGTTTTGTCCAGCTTTTGCTCAGTTTGAGCATATAGCATTCAAAAGAAATAAAATGCAGTTTTTTTTTAATGATAAATCTGAAATGTTTTGTCCTTTTGAAAGTGCACACATCCAGAAAAGCCGAAAAGCATCTATATTATTATGTTTTCAGCTGGGGTCTCTCATATCATATAACAGAAATGCTTTAACCTTGATTAAAACATACACCAGCTGTTCCTGTGGTGTGCATATGGAGGCATTTTATTATGGGATAATAGTTTTATATACAGATGCTGTACATGCTTTGCACAAATGTCCATTATGCACAAATGATCATTTTAATCAGGTGTCAATCAGGTGTTTCAACCAATTTACAATTAAGCATACACTAGGGTCCAAAAGTCTGAATATACACTGAAAGTGGGATTTAATATCTTAATTAATATTGGAAATTATTTACTTTTAAAGATTTTGACAAATTTAACACAAAGAAACCATAAAAAGTAAAAGATTGAAACAAAAGATTTCCTGTTTCTGGGTCACTAATCAAGTAAGGTTGTTTTTATAAGATTTATGGTAACACTTAACACTTTAAAATGATATTTTCACATAGTTACATTCAATGAAACATAGTTCTAAAGCTTTATTTATCCTAGTTAATGTTAATTTCAACATCCAGTGAACGAACTAACAATGGATTACATATACACATTTTTAATGTTAACAAAGATTAATACTGTAACAAATATATTGCTCATTTTTAGTCAATGCATTAACTAACGTTATCTAATGGGTCTTTATTGTAAAGTGTTACAAAATGTATATCTCATTATAATTAATATATTAATGTTTATGTATTATGTATTTTATATATAAAGATATTTCACAGATAACGTATGTATATAAAAGCATCTTTTTATTACAGCCTCAGTCCTGCTGGTGAATATATGTGTGTAATAATTGTTCCTGTTATTCAGAAACACTCCTCCTACTTTCCTTTCAGATGTGAGAAGGACAAATGAATGACACATTCAACTGATGTGTGATCACTGCTGTGTGAATGATAATGAATGATTATGAATGTGTATGTGTTAAAACTGTGTAAGACTGAAGCTATTTAGGCAGCTGTGTTGCCTGTTTGTTTATGAATATTTGCTGTAAATGGGCACACATGGGAGTTTGTCAGATTGTCAGGTATTGCTCATTTTGAGGCCATTTCCTGTCAGATCCACTATGCATGAGGCAGCTGGTGACTCAATGAAACATTACTGCAAACTTCCAATTACACCAACAGAGTTGTAATGGTACTGAAAATGTGGTCAGCTGCAGTATAATAGTTCATATCTGCAGCAACAGGCTTCTCTGTTTCAGTACTAATGCCTGCACTAAGTATCGTCATTCATAATCATAACCTTTACCCTTTTCTCTCCATTATGCTGATACGGCTGCATAATAATTAGTCAATGGAAAACCATGGGAACTGCTTGAGTAACTACCACTCAAGGTGCCTTTAACCTTCGATATTTACATTGAAGGGGTCACTTTTACAGGAAGTGATTACAATAGATTTTTCAGAAGTTAATATTTTACAGTATTTTACAGTATCTATACCCATTTTTGCTTTAACTTATTTTATGTAAGTATTGCTGAGAAAAAGTGTGCCATCAATAATTGATCAGAATGTTTCAAATCATTCTTTCTTCAAGTCTTTTTTTTCTGTGGAACACAAAAGATAATAGTTTAAAAATGTTTCAGCTGTTTTTGTCAATAGAATGAACGTTAATGGGGTCCAAAACAAACAAAGGACTTCACTGACATTCGTGGTATAGATAAATAAATATATATATATAAAAAAAACACTTAGACATTTGCAAAATATCTTCTCTTGTGTTCCACAGAAGAAAGAAAGCACTGCAGGTTTGGAACAAAACAACATGAGGATAAGTAAATAAAGTTTATTTTTAGGTGTCACTGTTGAATACCTCAGAAGTTCTTGCAAATGTATTCATTTTCAGTATCAGACGAAACTGAGAAACATGGAGCACAACCAAGCCAGAGTCTGTCAAAAGATCAAGGGTCAAAGATTGCAGGCCTATATTACTCAAGATCGTGAGCACACAGCAGTGTGAAGGTGATCTTTACGCTCTCTATGAATGTACAGTGATTTTCATCTGTCACACAGCTTGTTTTCCGATATATTTTCTCTTTTTGTCCAAGCTTCTCTTCAGAATTCTGCTTTGTCCCTTTTTTCCTTATCATCTTGCATAGAAATTATTGACGTAAGGCCCCTGATTACAAAGGAGGATTTTTGATGCATGTTTGTTGTTTGCACTTTTAATTAAATGCTTAATATTAACACATCCACCAATCCAGTATACTATATTTGCCAAACGATATCATAAGATACCTTAAATTTACAGTCCACTCCCCTGAGCAGTGAATCAGTAGATAATGATTAGGCTCAATAAAGCAGAGTTAAACTTTGACTTAAGCAGGAAGCACTTCAAGACTGAAATGCTCAGTCTTTTGAGGAGAGGAGCTCTGCTGACAGGTCTGTGTCTGTTATCCTTTCTTTTACTTCTTCTTAGTTGTTCTCTTTGAGTTTAAGCTGATTTTGAAAGTGTATGTTGTTAGTTACCGATATGTCATTTGCATTGAAATGTTGCTTTCGAGGCCTACGATAGGTTATGATCTTGTTTGATTTTGCTCAGAGCTTTCAGAAGGGTGTTGACCGGCTTATGCGAAAGGGCATTTAAAGGTATCGAAACTTGCTGTAGCATCGTAGGTGCAAACTTATTTATGAGCATATTTGCTAGAGGAACAAATGTATCTATGATATTTTTTTGATCTTGTACTGTCAGAATGTCATCAGAGGTCACAAGCCTGGGCCTTTTGTTCTCCCATACCTTGATATTAGAAACTTTTAAAGCCATCTAGCCTAATGTTAATGGACTGTCATTGCATTTTTATATCTTGTTTGAATATCCAAGTTTTGATTTAAATCACTTTTAGTTTAAAAAGTCAAAAACTTATTAATGAAAATGGTCACATTTAAATTAGTCTCATTTTTACAACTGGTTGAGCTGATATTTATAACATAGAACATGAGTATTGATTTCAGCTTGTGCACCAGAATGTCCTGATTCGTTAAATATGTTGACACACATAATATCAACCAATTGATCTATATTGTGTCGATCAAGAGTTTTAAAGAGAAGAACTAAAGTAGCTTATCAGAGGTCACATTAACTTCAATGTCACCTTGTGTCACATCTGTCTCAAGGCGTGTCTGTCTTTCACAATAGATCCAACAGATATAACTGAAATAAAAATCCAGTATCACTAAAGCACTAAACCTTACAGCTTATTTCAAAACAATATTTCAGTAAAACTGCCGACACAGCTTAATATACTCTTGGACTCAGACTGCCACCAACACAATCAGATTTATCTAGAGATCTTTATCTCTTCACACACATTATGTGTGTGATCAAATAAACAATCTGTTTATTGTTTATCTAGATAAATATGTTTATTGAGGGCTGAAGCATGGAGTTACACCTGTATACAACTTCCTTTATTGATATGTGATCTGCAACTTACTTTCATTTACCAAGTGTTTAATAATCGCCCCATGTTGACTTAACTGAATGATGTGACTAAAGACATGTTAAACTGAGAAACCAATACTTATTTGGCTTTTACAAAGCAAAATCTTCAAATGACAAAGCTAATGTTTAATTTGAGAATGAATTGATATTTTATTGATGATCTAAATCCTGAAATGACCCTGAAAAATTGCTATACTGTTTCAGTCAGTCAGTCAATTTTATTTATAGAGCACATTTAAAAACAACAGCTGTTGGCCAAAGTGCTGTACAAAATTTAAGCATATACCAAAATACAAAAGTAAACATAGAACACAGCGACAGATAGTACACTACAGTTATGCCACTGCGTTTGAGAATGAATTAATATTTTATTGATGATCTAAATCCTGAAATGACCCTGAAAAATTGCTATACTGTTTCAGTCAGTCAGTCAGCTGAATGTATAACAGTTGCTACACTCTCAGAGAAAAAAGGTACAAAACTGTCACTATTATTTCATATATATTTTGTATTACATTTTATACATATTTTGGCCCATTCCTCTTCTCAGATGTGTGGATCCAGATGTACATAATTATTTAATTTGTTTAAAAAGTCCCGGTTTTGTTATATGACTACAGTGTACAGATAGTACACTACAGTTATGCCACTGCGCTGAATGTATAACAGTTGCTACACTCTCAGAGAAAAAAGGTACAAAACTGTCACTATTATTTAATATATATTTTGTATTACATTTTATACATATTTTGGCCCATTCCTCTTCTCAGATGTGTGGATCCAGATTTACATAATTATTTAATTTGTTTAAAAAGTCCCGGTTTTGTTATATGACTGTCAGTACAGACATTGTAAAATCTGATAAACTACAGCAGTGACACACAAAAACACACATGCACACTGAGTCAGCGCTGTCTGCCACAAGAGATGCCAAGTCCACGCTCGAATGCCAAGTGACCTTTAAATAACCTTTTTATGGGTTGCGATTCATGTAAAAAAAAAATTACACACGCACTGCGCCACATGACGAGAGTCATGATGTCACCATCAAATGCCACACATGCATTATTTTTATGCATATGAGAAGGACTGACAAAATATACACAAATTAGTTTGAGAATAGAGGGAGAAATAAAACGGGAAATTCCTGTACACACACACATAGGAAAGCATCTTTTATATTGCTGAAATATTTGTAATGTTTTAAAATATTACTCAGGACTGGTTGAATAGTACGTTTTGCTAATAATCATTGACTGAAGTTTAACATTAAAGAAGCAGATGGGTCTATTTCCTGACTGGGCAGCTTGTAATTAGGCTTTTGTCACACCATGTGGCTCCACTTTATGCTCTAATATTGCTCAGTTTGCACAGCAGGGGCCATCATGTCAGGGAATAGTCATCGAATAAAGTTATTTGGCAAATAAATGTCACTGCTGTAAATTACAATTGCTTTTGCAGTAACTTAATTAAAGGCAGTGTTTCACATGTTGACATTTCTTTTCCATCAGGTTTTGTTGTCAGGGACCATGAGAGGTGCACATTTGCTACACTTGACCCTTCTCATCAGCATTGTAAGTGTTTGTGCGAGTAGGATTTTAAAACTCTGTGACCTTGTAGTGTCCTTACGATCTTTTATTCAGTCCATAAATGAGTAACTGTGCTGAAGTCCATTTCTCTGCCCACACTCCATTAATCAGTCAAAGACCTGACACACAGACATAGTCTGAATTCTTTCGGAAAGTTAAATGATTTGTTCTACATAAATAATCCACAAAATGGGCAAATATTCAGCAACCTTCAAAGCACAGATAGGTTTAATGGATTATTGATTTGATATTAAATAAATGACTGTTTATATTGCAGTAAGACAATAGTTTAGTAATTTAATTATTAACTTTATTTAGTTATTTATTAAGAAGTGTGGTCAAATGTAAGGTGTTTTATTAGTATGCAGCGAAATCTCATTCTCAGAAAGAATATTGGCCACTAATGTTGTTCATGACTGACTAGATTTATAACAGACAATATATTGTAGCAGTTGGCAATATGCTTATCTATAATGGTGATTTTGCAATAAGTCATTTTAAATTCTGCAACTTAGGGTGTTATTTTTCATATGGCTTCATAATTCTCCTTTCTCTCTCTCTCAGGCTCATGGGCTTGGTCTGGAGGACAAAATGGGGCCATTAGGACATCTAGTTTTAGATGTGCCAGAGGCTACACCTGTGCCCTATGCCATTTACCAGGTACCCTAGGCTCCGTTTTTGTGTTTTAAGGGTTAGTTTTGACAGATGGGTTAGTTATGAAGACAGACATGACGCTGATTTTTTTATTAGAACATCTCCGGTGTCTATTATCAGTAATATTTTTGAATGTATTGATTGAAAATATTCTAGAAATTTTCTTTGTTCAGTTTACATCTGCAGTGGAAGTTGTTTCATCATACCATGTAAGCGGAGAGACTGAAGGAAAGATCAGTGTCTCTTCAGACGGCTGGCTATTCCTGGAGCATCCTCTGGAATGGAGTCCTGAGAAAAACCACCATCTAGATGTAAGTTATTATTGTATTATGAAATATCACACATAATATGCAAACACCTGGGTCTTCAAAATGAAACAAAATCCCTACATTGTTCTTTTCTAGCATGCACAAAGCACACTGTTGATGTACAACATGACCGTGGATTATATTTAGCAACATGGTTTTACGTTAAATATATGTATATGGAAAGTCTATATTTCAAGTCCTGGTCACTACATATGTTTCACCTTTTTAATCACTGTATTATATAAATGATATAAATCAAAAATATATAATATTAATTTCAAAATATGAAGTATAACATGTCACACGGCGAGACATATAACGTTGCAAACAGTATGATGACATGTAAATATAAATTCCAGAACAAACTATTCTAAATGTGTGTTTTTCTTCAGATTGAAGCACGTTCAGCAGATGGTGAAACCCTTGATGGGCCTTATTCAGTTGTGTTGCAAGTTGTTGATGTCAACAACAATCCCCCTGTCTTTAGTGAGAATCAGTACAGTGGCCGTGTTAGAGAGCATTCACCTGCAGGTGAGAAACACATTATCAATGGATGCTAAAACTTGGTGATTCTCTAAACTGTTCAAATTAAACAATGAACACACTATTAATTGTACTTTTCATCTTGTGTGCGTGCAGGAGTTCCATTCATGCAGGCGTTTGCTACCGACGCAGATGATCCCAACACATTAAATGCCCAACTGAGATTCAGCATTGTGAACCAAATCCCCAATCCTGGAAAAGTTTTTTACTTTGGCATTAACCCGGACAATGCAGAGATCTTTATAACAGAGGAAGGTACGTCAACACATTTAGAACAAAAATACTCCGAAAAAAACCCCAAGCGTCCATATGTTGTTATTGTACAAGTTAATTATGATTATGTTTTTTGTTGAGTGCCAAACCAGTATTTGTCTTTGAGAGAAGATGAAAGTGTGTCTTTCTGTTGCTTTGCAGGAGCAGAATTTCTAAGGGCCAGGCCCACCGTAAGGTACAGCCGCGGGGAGGTCCATGGCAGTCCTGAAGTCCTGAAAAAGAAGTTTGAGGACTACTGTATCCCAAGGAACAACATACCTCTGGAGAACAACCCCTTTTACACATGCATCGAACGTGCTGGTGAGAACATACAGAAACGCACACAGTGATCATGTTATTTAAAGCAACTGAATGCAGTTTTGTTTATTTTTGCCACATTACAGTTAAGTGAGTGGACTTTGTAAATATATAACTGTCATAATTACAGAGGATAGTTGGACATGCGTATTTGTTGCTGCCATAAAGCAATCCACCCTTTTCACAGATTTTCGTACCCGTGCACCAAATTTACGCAATCCCAGAATTGACATTTGGGGGGAAGAGTAGGAGAAAAACAAAAGCCATTCAAATTATTAGAAGTCAGGGTGCCATCAGAATGATTTTGAAATTGATATTTAAAGGTAAAAACAAACAACAAACTTCAATACAAAAACAAAAAGTGGATCCCATTGCAAAAAACAGAAAAATCCACATCCAGGCACTCACATAGCAAGCAAAGTAAAAAGCCTTTAATTATAAGACAGGGCTACATATTAAAAAACACCAACGCGTATCAGCCCAAGCAGGCCTGCATTAGGGTGTTAGACAATAAAGAATGAGAAATGGTTAAATAGATACACCTGTGACTATACATTTTCAAGATCTAACCACTAGATGTCCCTTAGGAGAGCTTTCACTAAATAAATAGACCTGTGATTATACAGGTACATTTTCAGGATCTAACTAGATGTCTCTTGGGTATTTGCAAATTTAAACCAATACAGTTGGTTGATCAATGTTATATGGAAGCTTGTTTCAGCCATGGGATAAAATTTTTTTACTTTTTTTCCTGAGTATCTGGGTCTCTCTCCTCCATTTGAGCGAACGAGAGCATGCGGGAGAACAGAACATGTTATTCAGAATAAGACTGAAATGAACAGTTCTGATTACAGTGCTCTCACATACACACTCAGATTAACCTGGTGTGTTAATGTCTATGAATGACCACTTCTCTGATTACATTCACTCTGGTGTGTGGAACGTGCCACGTGCTGTAAATAAGAACACAGTCATTAACTGTGATCAAGCAGTTCAGCCCTCATCAGTGCAGATTACTGTAGTCTCAGAAATCAGGCTGGATTTAACCCAGATTACTTCACCATTCAGCATCCACATTACCAGCCCAAATCAATGAACATCATGTGACCAACAGAAATGCGCAGGCCTCTCACTTCATTAATTTGTATCATGCTGTGGAATAATATTTTATTGACTGAAGCTCACAACCTAAAGCATCACAGTGACTGGTCAAATAAGTAAATAAATCGACATGAAATACTCCTGAAGTGGCATTATTTTATTATGGGAGAATCACAGCTGTGCTGATACTCAGATCAATAATGAAGGGTGCTTTCAAAACACTTCTTTATTTTAAATCAGTAGTTCATTTATTATACTACAATTTCATGAAAACAGTTGCAATTTGGTATGTAATTATACATGTTTGGTGATGACGGCCTGTGGTTTTTCAAGAGATCTGAGTCTGAATCATTTGGAAAGCAATTGGTTCAACTGATTCCGAGTTAGAGCACAACTGCGAGTGTGATAAACTATTCAATAAACAATAGTTTAATATTAATAACTTTAAAATTAATAACTTACGTTGTCTATATTTCCTCCACCAAAGAAAAAGTTTCAAAATGACTCTAGAGCAGAAAAATCAATCTATGAGCATTGAGAAACATGAATCAGTGTTTCATTAATCATTATTTCATAATAAGTAATAATTAATGAGTGATTATTTTGGTATGAGCAGAAAGACGAGAAGTGAATCTTCTTCAAGATCCAGACTATGCGCTGATTGTTCGTGCAGAGGATTTAGGAGGTGGAGCTCCAAACGCTCTGAGCAGCACGACACGGGTCAACATAGCTATCATTCAAAACCTCTGGGTCAGCCCTGGACCAATCACCATCAGAGAAAATTTGGAAGAGGAATACCCTATGTATCTTACCACAGTAAGTCTGGATCTAAAAACAATAATGTTATGTTATGGTAAGCAGTGTCTATACTTTTATTTTTATTCATATAATTTTAAATAATTAATTGCATTATTTTATTTATTTATTTGTCATAGGTGCGTGCCAATGATCCCACTGCATTGTACAGGCTGGTACAGAAAGAAAGACTTTCCTTCCCCTTCACCATCAATCAAAATGGAGAAATCTATGTTACCGCTCCTCTGGATAGAGAAGAGAAAAATATGGTAAATAGGAATGCATGAGAAACTGAACTGAAAGAGAAAAATGATCAAAACTAGTCTGTAGACCACATGACTGCTACATATTTCACTCCTTATTACTTATTGTATAAAACTGAGTGTTGCATATTAAGCCTGACGTGTGTGTGTGTGTGTGTGTGTGTGTGTGTTTGTTTTAGTACACATTGGTGGTCATGGCAGAAGATGAACAGGGTGTTGAGCTGGAAAAACCCATGGAGATTCATGTGCGAGTGGAGGATGAGAATGATAACTCTCCTGTGTGTGATGAAGCTGTGTTTGAGGTGCAAGAGAATGAGCCCATAGGTAATAATGTGAGACACTTTATAAACATACATACCCACACAGTTGGGTTTTCATATTTTAAAGGGACTTTCCGTAGAGATCATAATTTTTATACTGTATAAACTGTATATTCTATACCCTAACCCAAATTATGAACCTAACCCTCACAGAAAACCTTCTGCATTTTGTATAATTTATCAGCTTTTTTCCTCGTGGGGACCAAAATAATGTTCCCACATGGTAAAAAAAAAAAGAAGGAAAAATCAGGGTTTTATTATCCTTGTTGTGGGGACCAAATGTCCCCAACATTTGATTCCCACACCTGGACCACACACACACACACATTACATCAGTTCAAAGCAGGTGATAGCACAAACTGACCAAATGCATACCGAGAGGTCCAAAAGTCTGAGACCACTGGTGAAAAGGCTGCTATGTAGTAATTCTCTGATGTATTTTTTAAAGAATTTATATATATATATATATATATATATGCAGAAACATTTCAGTGAAAGTCAAACAATTAACAAAATATGGTATCAGTGTTGTCCTTTTCAAAAAGTGTTTACATGATCAATGTCACACATACCTAGAAAGACAACCGAATCTCAAATATTCATTCATTTTATTTAATAATGTTTGTTTAAAATAAAAAATCTTAAAATTCCTTCCAGATTTGAAATAGATTTTGAAACCAGGATTTTCAGTGTGATCTCAGAATTTTGGATCCCACTTTCTTGACATTTAAGTTTTTTTTAACATTTATTTATTAACTCTTTTTGCCATTTTCCTTCATTTTTGATCTTGACATTTTTAATTATATGCATGTTTAGGTAATCCAATTGGTGTTCTGCCTGCTCATGATAGTGATGAGGAAGGCACACTGAACTCATTTTTAGACTACACACTCCTGAGCCAGACACCTCCCAAGCCATTTGGAAAAATGTTCACCATCAACCAAGACAATGGCGAAATCAAAGTGGCAAACAAATACTTCCAAAGGAAAGAAGTGCCTCAGTATGTGCTGACCTTTAGTGTGACTGACGGAGGTAGAACACACACACACACACACAACTGAAAATGTATGTAGAATGTGCATCTTAACTTTTGAACTTGTTTGTAGTTCATACCACGGAATGTAAAGCAATTATCAAGGTCATCGACATCAATAATGAGATCCCTGTCTTCGAGAAAAAAGATGTATATATATTTTATTTTACTACTTAAATAAATTACATTCTTTCTCCCAGTAGATTATTGAATACTAAATCTCTGCTCTGATTCACAATCACCTTGTTGCAGTATGGGACCCACAGTGTTCCTGAACTGGCTGAAGTGGGAACCACTTTGCTCACCATCAAAGCCACAGATGCAGATGACCCAGGAACAGGAAGCTCTAAAGTGGAGTATCACATCACTGCTGGAGACCCACATAACCTCTTTGCCATTGAGGTTAATGAAGCCACTGGAGAGGGCAGAGTCTACATCGCTCGGGTAACACGACTTTACTCATGAGGAACACGTTGAAATGCAAAAACTGTCTACATTTCTGTTTTATGCTTTTTGTACTCTTTATATTTCTTTATTTTTTTTTTTATATATTCTCGATCTTCAGCCACTGGATTACGAGCTCCAGAACGTCTTCAACCTTCAGATTGATGCCCGTAATCCCGAGCCCCTGATCGAAGGAGTGGAGTATAATGAAAATGCCACCACATTTGTTGTCATTCAGCTGGTGGACGTGGACGAGCTTCCAGAGTTTGAAGCGGACACTCTTAATGTCAATGTTCCAGAAAACATCACGGTTGGAACCATTATCATGACAGCTGAAGCCAAGGATCCAGAGGGAAAGACTATCAAGTAATGCTTTACATTGTGTCTCCTATTTAATCAGATCATATATGAGATGAGATTGTTTGATTGCAGTGCTTTGATAATGTTACTTCTCAACTTTATTGAAGAGAGAGAGAGAGCTTTGTTCCAGCAGTTGTTGAAACTTATAAAAGAAATAGAACACGTATTGCACGTATTTCCTTTTCTTAAAGGAATGTCATGGTCTTTTTTACTTTATATAATTGTTGTCAGGTTTATTGGTGCTTTGATATACAATGGGGTACAAATGTCAGAGAGCACAACTGAAGATACTATTTTACATTTTTATAATTCAATACAAATTCCATATGACTTGCATAACTATTTAAGTGAAACTATTCAAGTAAAAGCTGAACTGAAACATTTACATATAAATTTTAGAATGTTTTTAGCGACAGCAGCACTCAAGCGGCAAGGATTCCAAAGTTTGTGTAAAATTTGAAAATATTTCATTAGTGACCTAGCAATAGTGCAGAATCGTACCTTTTTCTTTTTACGTCAATTTTTCAAAATCCTTAATTTTGGGGGTATATTTAGTTTATTTATGTACTTAGGTTTAAATGGAACAACAAATCCGATTTTTTTCAAAGTGTTCTAAGACTTTTTGACTCCACTGTATGTTATTTAAAATAGCTCTCTGGAAGCCAGTAAACTTTGAAACTTCTTTTTCATACTAATTAACATTTTTAAATGCCTTTTATGCAGTTCCTGGATGTAAATGTTCTGTTTGTCAGGTTTAAGATGGAAGGAGATGAACATAATTGGTTAGAGCTGGATGCTGACTCTGGAGAGCTGAAGACTAAAGCTGCTCTGGACAGAGAGACGGTGGAGCAGATCTCTCTCACAATTATTGCTTATGAGACAGGTGAGAAATCAACAGAGCTCCAATGCATTGACTCACTCCAGGTGAGTGTCATTTGGTAAATATTACAATCTATTTCTGTTCCTTGCAGAGGGAGATAAGCAGGAGGCTAAGATGAAGGTGACTATTCATCTGCTGGATGTGAATGACAACTACCCTAAACTGCAGAAGACACAGGGCTTCATCTGCATCCAGGATATGACCCCCTTGACACTCACTGCAGTAGATAAGGACGCCGACCCCTACGGAGAGCCTTTCACCTTCTCCATTAACCGCAAGTCACCAAACTTTGAGATCAAACCTCTGGATGGTGAGCAGATCTTCAGTTTAGCCACTGTAGTCTTAAAAAAAAGCAGGCTTACATACAGTGTGACTGTTGTATTTAATTTATTTACTGTTGTAACTATGTAAACCTGTTTGTGTATCTGCAGGAACCTCGGTGCAGCTGATTTTGAAGAAGAAGCCCTCAAGTGATCTGAACGCCACTGTTCCCATCAACATCAAAGACAACGCTGGGATGGGTATCACTCAAAAGTTTGATGGTAAACTATTTTTTCTTCTCTTTATTTCTTATATAACATTCAACTCGCTCATAGACTTGCACTATAACGTGGTATGACATCTAATCGGAGATTTATCTCTTTCTTTTTCTTAGTGCGTATATGTAACTGCACTAAATTGGGCTACTGTTACATCGAGCCAGGAGCTCACAGCTGGAAGCTGGGCATGAGCGGCACCATCGGCATCCTGGCAGGAATATTCGGCTTCCTCAGTAAGACTGATATGTTTCATTTTGCTCTCTTAATATTTAAGAGTAAAAAGAAGCAAACTGAGAAAAAGTTTTTTTTTTCCCCCTTCCAGTTCTGTTCCTGATCATTATTTTCTACCGAATCAAGAAGAATGGTCAGCAGAGTGCAGCAGCTCCTGAAGAGACTAAAGCAATGATCTAGAGTCCGAATAACATTATTCGGAACACAACCCAGGCAAACTGACATCCATGACCCTCAACACACAAACCCCTTTATTTTGTAAAGTCGTTGTGCATTTTAAAACACACTTTTTATTATTATTAAAATTTCATGTTCAAGATTTGCATCTTCTGACAGTTTTAACAGTAACTTATTCACTATGTGGCCTGGCAGATATATTAAATATTTTATATTTAAATGCTATAGATATTTGACCTAAATTTAGATTTTTTTCTATGTGTTGGCCCCCTAGTATTTAAAGGGAACACAAAAGGTGTTTTCTTGGAATTTTAAATATATACTTTGTTGTATATCTTTAGTACAAAGTACTGAAGTACACAGTACTTTGAGACATGAATATACAGCATGTTGTCATATTTCATATGGATTAAACCAATAAAAAATGTAAATGTAATGTGTTATATTTATTCCCTATTATCCAAGAATCAACTAAAATGTGTAAAAAAAATCTTTCCATGTGATATTTCATGTTTTTGACTTTTCTCCTAGAGAATGTCTTGTGCAGGTCAAAGGTCAGGTTCTATGAAATGCCCTTCAATTCTGCAGTGTAATTCAATCAGTGAAGAAGGCATACAAATCACAGAATGACAGCATTTCTGGCTATTTGACTTGTAGAAAACTGAAATTGTTCATTCTGTAAATAAACTTCTACTTTGACCCAAATACGTTTTTTTTATTTCTTAAATTGAATTTTCTTTTTTTAAATAAATCCACATTTAAAAATGTTAGTATTTAAACTATATTAATAGTAACAATAAAAACATAAATAGTCTAACAAGATAACACACAAAATAGCTTTTAAGCATTAAAGGCAGAGTAAGGGATTTCTGGTAGCCAATGTTTATATTTGAAATCACCAAAACAAACACGACCCTACCCCAAAAGGGTCTTGCCCCTATTTTGATAGCTTCGCCCCACACATACGTACGCAACCCAGGCAACGATTAGTTCTGTGAAACAGCACGCCCTTTATTGCTGATTGGCTACAAGTTTGTTTTGCGATTCGGCCCGAATCAGTTTTTAAAGCGTTTTTGAAAAATCACTTACTCTGCCTTTAAGGATATTTTTTCAAGAGTACATAATAGTAATGAGTAAAGACTTGTTCATTGCTTCTTTCATAATTCTTATATAATTGTCTGTCTTGTGTTTCTATAAAGTTTTATCATATATTGCAGATCTTGAAAGAGACAGAATGTTACTGTTAAAAAGTGTGTGTGCACTTTGGATGGGATAAATGCAGAGCACTAATTCCGAGTATGGGTCACCATACTTGGCCACATGTCACGTCACTTTTTTTTTTTTTTATAAAAAGAATGAAATACCAGAGACAAACAAACTAGAGATGCCTAAAACTCATTCTCATAAATTCTCAGTCTATATCACTAGTCTGTATCTCTTCATGCTGATATTACTTTCACATTCGTCAGTCTCTAAGCAACGTTCCATAAGAAACACACAAAAACAAAAGGAGAGTGCACTCACTGACTAAAAGGAAATGAGTAGAAATTAATTCTTGCAACTCTGTTACCATAAAGGGTTAATGATTAATGGTGTGTGACAGTGAAGTTCAATTAATTCAATTTACAATAACGATACAATGCAATTTAGGACTAATAACTTTACTTCCTCTTTTAATTGTTTACAACACCACTTGGTTTGCTGTTGTCAATAGACTCAGAAGATCTTCATTCCTTCGCTGGCTTTTCCACAAGCTAACATAGAAAAGGATGATCTGTCAAAAAGGATTGACAGATGAGCATCGGTCCTCTTGACCTTGCCTGTGACTGAAAAATGGACGGATGGATGGATGAGTCAGTGGTAGATAGATGTCTGTCTAGTTCCCCTGGTCTTGTTTGCCTAGCCATCTGATCATTCCTCAACCTCTGACTCTGTCTCTCCCACACAACATGTGTTGCCATAGTAACAGCCAAAATCATAGAAACAGGAACATGGCTGATTCCTGTTCTTATACTGCAGTTTAGACCCTCTGCCAAAACATGAACTGTTATGAGATGCAGAGCCAAACTGAGAATGACAGATTAAAATCATAACAGTGTCCACTGACTCGTCCATCTGTAGCCCAGCACTAACACACCAGTAATGCAGACCATCCCATCCACACATGTTCATCCAGAGGCTTACAGAGCGCTCAATGTGCAGCGAGAGCATATGCACACACTTCTTTCATCTGCTTAGAGCAATACAACCATCTATGAGCATTCTACAACTGATGGAGGTATCAAATTAATTATAGGCCGTAGAATATTTTAATGAAATATTTGTCTCTGCAAGAGAATAGGTGAGTCTGGTAAGTCTAAATAGAAACATGAAAGCTAGTGCACTGCTTTTTTAAACAGCCAACACATTTCTGAAAGTGAATACTAGTGTGAATGACAATAGTACTGTCAAAAGTTATCTCCAGTGGGGTCCGACATATAATTGAAACCTGGAAATTAGCACAAAGTTTACAGATTTTGAAAAATCTAAGACAAAGAACAAATATGATGTAAAATTGAATATTTAAGATTCATTACATAAAAGGAATTAATTGCATTAATACTAACAAAAGATATCAAATTTTCGTTTGCTCTCAGACAGCTAAAAAAACAGATGCAGAATAAAGAAGAAATATTTCATATTTGATATGTCACTAATCAAATACGAAAATTTGTGACACTGAGAATGATATTTTTATCACAAGACTTTGTTTTATTTGATTTATTTATTTATTGCATGGGACAAACCTTGTATAATTGAAACAGTGGAAAAGGCAAGCAGATTGTTGCCAATGTGTAAAAAGCTAAATTTATATGGGCTACATTTTAATTTATTTAATAAACAGTTTCTGTTTTAACTCTTATAAAGATAAAGCAACAAAACACAATACAACCAAACGACCTCCTCAGACTTACTATATCTACCAAAGGTCATTTTTGATTCACCTAATCCTTTGACAGTCTTGAGTTGTAAAGATAACTTTTATCAAATGTGCAGTTGCTAAGTCCTCCCTAACGTTTACTTGGGATCTGTTTTCCAACAGTTGTAGAGATAACATTCATAATATAAAAAAAAGATATCCACGAGCCAACAGCTGTATCAGTTTAACTACACATCTTAACTGTTAAATTAATTATAGAGAATTCTAGAGGGAATGACAAGCATATGGTTTATGATCATCAGTTGAATGTTTAGTCTACTAATTATGAGATTTCTTTAATGGCTAATGCTCCCTGTGACCTTAGAACTATTACAATGAAATAAAAACCTATTCAAGAGAAGACTAGAGTATGTATTTGTATATTACCGTCATATACAGTATTATCTATTCTTAAATGTGTACCTTGATATACTTTTAGACTCTGCTATTTAAACTCTATTACACTATGATGAATGATTAAAGGATGTGGATAATGAAGAAATGCAATTTTCGATGTTTGGTCTCTTTGCTCTCAACCTTAGTGAAGATTTTTATGTATTTATCTTCCAATATAGTCTGCTTCAGCTAACTGATAACAACAGGAATGTAACTGTGATGTAGAAAAGTAAGAACATAAAGGAATAGCTCACACAAAAATGAAATGTAGAGGAGATTGTTTCTTTATCAGAATTGGAAAATTTTTGCATTACTTGCTCACCAGTGAATCTTCTGCAGTGAATGGGTGCCGTCAGAATGAGAGTCCAAACAGCTGATAAAAACATCACAATAATCCAGAAGTAATTCACATGACTCCACTCCAGTCCATCAGTTAAGGTCTGGTGAAGCAAAAGCTGCATGTTTGTAAATTTCTCCAAATCTGTTCCGATGAACATCTTGGCCTGAGGCCTGAGGGTGAGTACATTTTCAAGGACTATTCATTTGTGAAAATTTGAACAAATCCTTGAAATTAACTGTAATGACATTACTAAACCAAACTGCAAACAAATCTGCAAATAGTTGTCTGGTGTTCATTAGCCAGTTCAAATGGATTCAGCTAACATATGAAGTGAATCCCAGGGCGCCGCAGCAATATGGCTGCCCACTGCTCCAGGTGTGTGTGTGTTCACTACTGTGTGTGTGCACTTGGATGGGTCAAATGCAAACTCAGAGCACAAATTCCGATTATGGGTCACCATACTTTGCCACACACACGCCACTTCACTTCACTTCACTTTTATCTGTGTGTGTTTCATTACCGCTGCAATCTCGAAAACGTAAATTTTTAAATGAATTTAAATAATATTTAAATATCAGTGCATTTAAATAGCTAAATGGCCAATCTAAATGACCAGATCTGATTGACAGAATGAGTCAGTGGAATTGATGAGTTTCTCTGGAGGAGTGGAGGAGGATGTCTGGTGTGGAAAATGAATCATCATGCTTACTGTAAAATCCCTCTCACTCCAGTCAATCTGGCCACTGTCCTGGAAAAATATGATTAAATATTAAATGATGTTAAATCTGCTGTTACAGCTCTATTTACTGCAAAAACACAACACAATTAAATAGCACACAGGAAAAATATCTAATATCTATCAGATATTTGACCAACCTTAACATTCTAGGCGAGGACGTGCATGCAGAGCTGGATTGGATGGCATATTGGATTTTGTTCAAAGTCCTTTATTCAGTCTATGGTTTGTTTTGCTGCAGATAAGACCAATATTTATACAGTAAAATAAGCAAGACAGATTTGCGCCAACTTCTTTATTTAACGTCAATCGGTCAACTATCCACGTAGATCAGTCTGCTCCATACGTCGATCATCATCTCAGTCGCCTCACAGTATCTACAGAAAATTAACACACACCTTAGGCCACGTGCATTATATTACAGATAGAAAGTTTATTTATGGATTGTGTTTCAAGCTGTAGTGTATTTCATGTGTTAATTTAGTAGTTTTGATACTTCATAGACGTACCAGCCATTTGCGTTTGTTGCCGATTGGCGCCTCCATGTGGAGAATTGGATAATATGCAAATAGCACAATTAAAACCTCGTTTTTTCTACTTTTGTACTGAATTAATTCCCTCGAGATCTAATGTTACGAGAATAAAGGCTGTGTTTGCAAACTTTTGGGATATCTTGATTAGTTTTGTATATGCAAACACACCTCTTTCGGAGTCAAATAATCTGTCAGAGTGACCAAGGACCTCTTGGTGGATGATGAAAAGGAGCAAGGACTCCCTGCAGGATATTGTAAAATAGTGAGTATTGCTTATTAAGTCTAGTCTAGAAGAACGTCTATAGTACCATATTAATGCAAATAAATGCTATTCTTTTGAACTTTCTAATCATCAAAGAATTATCAAATGTGTCATGCTTTCCACAAAAATATTACGCAGTAATGCAGCACAACTGTTTTCAACATTGTTACAGTGTTGCATATTACATGTGATATTACAATGATTTCTGAAGGATCATGTGACACTGAAGACTGGAGTAATGGCTGCTAAATGTTCAGTTTCCTTGGTGAGCATGAGACTTTCAATAACATAAAAAAAAAATCATCCAGACCCAAACTTTTAAAATGTATTGTCAAGATAATGAACAACCTGGCTGTGGGCATTTGGCGAGAACATTACACTTATAAATCAGTCCCATAGGCTGCATAACTTCACAACACAACCTTTACTGTGAAATTGCAGATATGCATGTCCTGAACCCTCTGAACTCTT